TGTTATACACTTGACCGATATTGTTGTAGGAAGTAGCCAAATTGGGATGATTCGGAGGCAGAGCTGTTTCGTGGATTTTATGTGATTTTTCGCAAAATGCAAGTGCTTTCGAGTAGTCACCCGTGTTGTTATACACTTGACCGATATTGTTGTAGGAAATAGCCAAATCGGGGTGATTCAGAGGAAGAGCTATTTCTTTTATTTGACGTGATTTTTCGTAAAATTCAAGTGCTTTCGAGTAGTCACCTGTTGCGTTATACACACCACCGATGTTGTTGTAGGACAGAGCCAAACTGGGATGATTTGGAGGCAGAGCTTTTTCGAGGATTTGATGTGTTTTTTCGTAAAATTCAAGTGCTTTCGAGTATTCACCCATGTCGTTATACACTCCACCGATGTTGTTGTAGGACAGAGCCAAATCCGGATGATTCGGAGGCAGAGCTTTTTCTCTTATTTGATGTGATTTTTCGTAAAATTCAAGTGCTTTCGAGTAGTCACCCATGTGGTTATACACTCCACCGATGTTGTTGTAGGACAGAGCCAAATCGGGATGATTCGGAGGGAGAGCTTTTTCTCTTATTTCATGTGATTTGTCGTAAAACTCAAGTGCTTTCGAATAGTCACCCATGTCGTTATACACTGCACCGATGTTGTTGTAGGAAGTAGCCAAATCGGGATGATTCGGAGGAAGAGCTATTTCTTTTATTTGATGTGATTTTGCGTGAAATTCAAGTGCCTTGTAGTAGTCAGCCATGTGGTTATAGATAAGGCCGATATTGTTGTATAATAGAGCCAAATTAGGATGATTGGAAGGAAGAGCTCTTTCTGCTATTTTATGTGATTTTTCGTAAAATTCAAGCGCTTTCGAGTAGTCACCCATGTTGTTATACACTCCAGCGATGTTGTTGTTGGACAGAGCCAAGTCGGGATGATTCTGTGGCAGAGCTTTTTCGTAGATTGTATGTGATTTTTCGTAAAATTCAAGTGCTTTCGAGTATTCACCCATGTCGTTATACACTCCACCGATGTTGTTGTAGGACAGAGCCAAATCCGGATGATTCGGTGGCAGAGCCTTTCCGTTTATTTTATGTGATTTTTCGTAAAATTCAAGTGCTTTCAAGTAG